CCGAGCGACGGTCCCTGCGTGGAGGCCACCTCGCTGCCCTCCGTGTTCCTGGCGAGGAGCTGCAGGGGACAGAGCAGGGGAGGGACATTGGTGGGGCTCGGAGGGCTGCGGTCGCACCGGGCACCCTGCCCACCCGCAGAGCTCGCAGAGAGGCTCCCGCAGGGTTGATCAACACTTTTGTAGGCATCTCGCTGCTTCGGACCCTTCTAGACCAGGCAACGGCTGCAGCTGCTGCAGCTTTCCCCTCGAAACGTCCTCGTGTCTCCTGATCAATGGACACCTTGCCATTATTTTTGGTCCCTCTCAATCACGAACCAAGCTTTTGCAAACCACTTCTAACTTCCTGGTTGTGAGCGGTGACCACGGCTCCTGTGCAAGATAAAGCTTTTCCAATTAACAACTCTGAGAGTGCTATAATTACACTTAATCAAGCAATGTCAAGCCAGTCTGGCTTATGCTACCCTCAGGGATTAGCAAGCAAAAAGGAAGGTAGAGACCCAGTGGTGGCACTAGCACGGCCACGGCCAGACCACATCATCAGGACCTGCCCGCAAAGAGGCCCCCCGGCGCCCCGCCCCCGCCGCAGCCTGACCCAGGCTCACCGCGTCGGAGGTTTCGGGGCCGCGGAAGCGGGGCCACTCACGTTCAGATCCAGGCGGATGGCGTCGCCGCTGACGATGGAAAAGGGGGGCAGATCTCCCACGGAGCCGAGCGGGAGCGCGGCTGCGGGACACAGGGGGGAGAGCTTTTCAGCTGCAGGCAGAGGGGGATGCTCCCAGCTCCCGTGGTCCCACGAGATGTCGGAACCAGCGGTGCCTCCTGCTCACAGCGTTTGTAGCGAAAATGTTTTTTCTAAAAGCAACAGTTCCTGAAGTGGCTTTCTGCAGGAAAAACTGCTGCTGCTCTGGGGCAAGAGAAACTGAATGCTGTGCTTGGCCTGAGAGCTGTGTTTTTAGAAAGTTGTTAAAATATTTGTATTTACCCAATGTAAAAAAACCAACCAAGCCCACGTGCAGGGGTCACACAGGAGCGGAGGAGCAGGAGGGTGCCAGCACTTACGGGTCCCGGAGCCGTGCAGGGTGCTCAGCGCGTTGAGCCTGGTGTTGACGATGTTGCAGCCCTGGGGAGGCAGAGGACGTGAGACCCCCGGACCCGCAGCGCCAGCGGAAGGACGCTGCGTTAGCGCGATTGGCGAGAGCCGGCTCTGCTGGGCTG